GAATGAAAGCGTATGCATATGTATGTATGTACATACGTTTGTATAAGTATGCATATGTGTGTGTGTATGTGAACCTGTACATGTATTTGTATAAGTATACATATGTATGTGTGTACGTTAAAACTCTCATTATAGAAACTAATGCATGAAATGGGCAAAAAAGAAACAAAACAAAAAAATGCCACTGCCAGCGCGTCGAACGTGAAATAGAAAGAGGGCGCCTGAGAGTTGGCGTGGGTAGGCGAAATTCAATAGGCTCTATATATGCATTAACATATACACACAAAGGTAGGCGGCTTGTTAGGCAGGTAGTTGACTAGAGCTCGATGGCTAACAAAGGCGTTCAAGTAAAACTTTCCAGCAACAATAGCAAAAAAAAAAAAAATACCATGAGCAATTTGAAGGTTTTGTGTGATAAGAAATTTGAGAACAACGACAGCTGCAGTTGCTGCCGACGGCGGCACATGCAGCAGGTGTGAATGATGCATACATAAACATACACACACAAATGCAGCTGCGCCCTAAACCAGTTAAACAAGAAGCTGCAGGCGGAAGTTGCCTTAAGAAGCTGCTTCCTTCTGCGGCAGCATCATGCCGTTGCATGCATCAACTTGAATGAACATGCACACACACATATGCATGCGTACATACACACATGCATACATCAGCTAGAACCGTTAAGAATACAATTTGTATGCATTTATGTGGGCAGCTAAAACGAGTTTAACAAGCAGAATTAAGTTCGGCATATCGAATATTAAATACCCTTACACACAACCAATGTCTGCATTAGTGCATGACAGAATTATAAAAGCCTCGGCAAGCGTATAAAAATACGAGCGTATACGAGCATGTGTTTGTGCATGTGCATTCTAATATAAAAAAAATCTTGCGCTGGTTGTTGTTGTTGTTGCCTCACTTGTTGTTATTGTCGGACAAGGGCAAATGAATTAATTAACTGGCAGTTGTATATAAATATGAATTAAATAAACAGCTATTGCCACACAGCACTTATCACTGTGAATAACATTTTAGCACCGAGGCGAAATATCAGCACAACTTTAAGATTATTTATTTGCTAATCAAAACACAAACAAGACACACATACGCACAAACAGTTGTAAATAAGCCACATGTACACACACACACACACGCAAGCACAAGTTGCTCCCCTGGAGCTGAATTTCCCCCAGGCAAACCTTTTACATCTCTGTTTCTATTTCTGTGCTACCCCAACACTTAATGCAGCAGCGAGAGCTCGGCAGCGCCCATGTCCATGTTTTATTTTTACAACAATCGAAATTCTATTTCATATACCGTTTTTAGGTTTTGCTATTTATTCACCTTTTTCTATGCGTTCGTTGATTGGATTTTCACTTTTGCGCAGCGCGTTCGCTCTCAGCGAATGTGTTTATTGATTTGCCAAAAATGTTGCCAAACACACACAGAATACTGTTGTTTTTTGGAACAGCAATTCACTTAAGTGTAAAACGTTTCGTTTCTCGTTAATTTTGTAATATTCGCAATAATTTAACAATTATTATTATTAATAAGTGAATTAGATGGAACAAAACAAATGCGACTACGTGAGCCACATTCTTCTTCTTCAGTAAATTGTGGTTCACTGCCAACTTCACGCGACTCAAGACTGCGTGTGTGTGAGGTAGTGCTGTAAAGCGGCAGACCAAGAAATACTAAGTACAGAAAATACCAAGTTTAGCTGTGATGCGCTAAATAATCGAATGAAGTGGTATTAAAAAATATCGATTAGTCGATGACCATTAAACAAATTGTAAACAACGACGTGGTAGATTAATTAAATTTTGGAAATAAATATGATCAAATTCGGGTTATTATTGTGTTTAGTATTGGCATTAAGTAGTGTGAGTATTCCAGGCAAAACTGGTGTAACCCCAACTGAATAATTTCCACTCTGCAGTGCTTGAAACAAACTCATGCCGAATTCACGGCAGCGGATTGCCGGGAGCTTGGCTTTATTAAGACCCAGCTGCTGTGCTCCAACTGTGACAAACTGGATGATTTTGGTCTGGAAGCCATAAAGTAGGTAACAGATTCACAATTGCGTAAGCGAATAAGTATTCATGCCGTCCACAGACCGCATTGCAAACAGTGCTGCACCCAGGACCAGCAGCCGGCAGCCCAGCGGACCTATGCCAAGGCAATTCTGGAGGTGTGTACATGTAAATTCCGAGCATATCCGCAAATACAGGCCTTCATACAAAGCGGCAGGCCAGCGAAGTTTCCCAATCTGCAAATTAAATATGTGCGTGGATTGGATCCGCTTGTCAAGCTGCTGGACGCCAGTGGCAAGGTGCAGGAAACGCTGTCGATAACCAAATGGAATACGGACACTGTTGAGGAGTTCTTCGAGACGCATCTGTCAAAGGAGGGTGGCGGCAAGAGCTCCTATAGCGTCGTGGAGGATGCCGACGACGAGGACGAGGATTACCTGCGCACCAATAGAATATGAAATTGCAATTATGCCTCCAGCTAGTAGTCAATGTAATAAAAGATAGCCTATCGTGTAGGAGTTCTTACCACAAAACGTTTTGAGCTTTTTGGGAGAAAAGCTTCGGGCGACGTTTGAAAGCTGGCTGCGAATACAGTTTGAGAGCCAGCATTGGGCACGGTTTGGGTTCCAGAAAAGTTATCATTTCTATTTCTGCCGCAATGCGTCCAAATTAACTGATTCATCATATAAATTAATATGTATTTTTGATTTGTTACCTTGTTATCAATTTGCGTGCTGTTGACTACACAACTGCGAAAGCAATAACAATGTCTGGCTATTGTTATGGCACGGGTGACCCATTCTTGTGCCAGTCAAGAGGTACTTTACCCGCGCCCATGCAAATACACACATATGTACGTATGACGTATTAATCCCACCAAGATGTCAAATATTTGCTCAGACTGTTAAATAGTCATTCACTAAATTGGCAAGGCAAATAACGGAATGTTTTTTATGTTTAATTCTGTTGCGTGACAACTTTTGCTTATCTATCGCTCTCGTTCTCGCGCCCCTGTTCAGCTTGCCGATATTTCATCTGGCACGGCGCATGTGCACGCGGCTTTACCGTCATTCACAATTTGCCGAATTTAAGGTTATGTCTGCATCTCGGGATGAGAGCTGCGTACACATCTATAAGAATACTGATTGGCAAATAAGATTTGTTTTATATACATTGTGCAATATCGCCTGTTTACGTTATATTACAATGCATATTTTTATGTGTACTTTTTTTTTAATTATATTTATTGCGGTTGTCGATTTTGTTGTTGTTGTTGTTCATGGTGTTGTTTGTTGTTTTAATCATAGCCTGACCCACAGTGGGACAAGGTGGATAGAAAAGCTATACTAAAAAACTTATAAACACTGATTACAAATCAAAAATACTCAATATGACGATGCAAAATACATACAAACATGCATATGTGCGTACATCCTTCTAAATATTGTGAACGATTGTCACGAGCCATTGTGAATCGCCTTGTGATCAATACTAATTACTTCATTTCTATGCATATTGCATTATTTTTATGCACGGCAGCTGCCGGGCTCAGAGAGCTAGCTTATCATTGTGTGCTATAAAAGCGCATTCAACTGTTTGGCAAAACTATATAGGTATGTGTGTGTGTATATACAAACATATGTATGTATATTTAATTATAAAGTTACTTCGAGAGCCCCCCTAGTTAGCAGCATGGCCGCTGGCTGCGTCTTGGAATGTCGTTTAAGGCGCCCCCTAGATTGCTAAACAGTTGCTGTTTTATTTTATTTTTTTTTCCTATTTCTCTCGTGTTTGCTGATAACATTTGCGCCTTTAGTGTTAAGAACCGGTCGCTGGAGCACTGAGTGCGGGAGCGGGCCAAGCGATAACAATAATGACGCTATAGTCAAAGCGTCATAGCTTCCATTAGCGCGGCAATTAGATTTGATTTTGGCGCTTCATTAAGAAATAACACGAGGAAGCACTAAACACCTAGTGGCAGGGAAAGAGAGAGATTTTTCGCTCTCTCTCTCTCTTTCCCACCACCTACTCTCTTTTGTGCGACTTGCCCTTTTACCGTTAACAGTATCAGCAAAGTCAACGCGAGCAGTGTTATAAAAATCAAAAGCTTGATTTGTTAATTGCGATTTGCGCTTTAAGCATTAGCTAGTAAAGGGTATTCAGCTTTTGTTAGCAACTATGTAACGCATTTATGAAGTGTCGCATTGTAGAAGATGTATGTCGTTGTGTTCGATTTGTAGTACGTACGTTTAAATAGTTTGAAAAATTGGTGAACATAATTTTTCTTGATGTAGGTAGTAAATTATAAAGCATATATAGCCAGCTTTGGTTTATTCGCTTGCGAGGGTATTCAAATGTCGACGCTTGGAGTTATACTATAATTTCATGTTTTATTTATAAGCTAAGCTTGTCTCAACATTTATGACTTGTGCACAAAACACATGCTGAAATACATATGCACGTATGTGTGTATGTGTATACACATATACATATGTACGTAGGGGGGCGAGGGTAGACACATGTATGCATGTGTGCACGCTCTCTCTCTCTCTCTCTCTCTCTTATACTGAAAGGTAAAAGGTAATAGTAAAATAGGACTAAGTGTGGCCACATTGAACTTTGGCTATTAAATTTAGCGCGGGCCAGAAACTGCGTCGCGTTTATTTACAAAGCAGCACACAAAATACCAACAACAACAGCAGCAGCTGCAACAACAACAACAGCGGCAACAACGACAAAAACAACAGCAGTTGCAGCTAATTGTAATCTGCAGCCAATGTGTGCGTTTGTATTTTGTGCAAATAAGAAAAAAATGTGGTTATATTGTTTTTATAAGTTAATTCACATGGGTACATCAATTATACGTGCAATTATTTGCATATTTCATAATTTCGAATAATTCGCGGCGACGCGCACGTAGAACGGTGTGGTGAATATAATATTTACATTAGTTCAACAGGTGGTGGGTAATGGATTTAAAATTAAATTTAAGATTTATTTGAAACAAATAACTGTGTTATTACATTGAATATACTCTTATTCCTGTTGTTTGGATTTTGTTTTCGTATTTTTAAAAACTTGTGTAATCATATATTACATACACAATTACTTAGCTGTATTGTAATAGTATTTTATGTATAATCTACATATACATATTTTCGGTTCATTTCGAACGCGCGCGCATTCAAAACAATTAAATAAATGAATAATAAACAAAAACAAACACCACACAGCAAACAAATAAAACAACAAAAGGTTTTGCTGCAGTTTTTTGTTCTTGTTTTTTGTTTTTCATTCTTTTTTTTTTCCATTTGTTTTCCTTAATTCAATGCGCCTGTTTTCTTAACATCGTTCACAATTATTATTATTATTATTAATTATAAGTATTTTTTTGTTGTTTGTTTGTTTTTGTTTTTCTTCGCATATTTTAGGGATTTAAATTTTTACTTATGTAGTTTATAACTAGAGGTTTACATTGACATTAAAAAAAGGAAAATGTATATTTTTTTTGCAAAATTCTCGTTACTATATAATTAACAATATTATGTATATAAGTTCTGGTACTCAATTAATAAAACTTTTGCACTTTTAAAGCCAGTTGCATGCGCTTTCATTTTGTTGTCGTTTCATAAAAATTTGTATTCGCTTAATAAATTTAGACTCTTCTATATATATATTATTATTCTTGGATTGGAATTGAAATAAAATATTGTATTTAAAATTTTGGTACGAAAAATTTGTTGCGTAAGTTACATTGTGTGTGGTTTAATATATTATTTAAAGAGTTCGTTACGAATTTGTGTTACATTTTGCTTTGCCTCCTAACTATGTATGTGTATATTTAGCTTTAGGTTTTGTAAAAAATTTTGAGTAGTTCGTTTTTGATTTATTTTTTTATCTGTTTTGTTTATTCATTTTTGTTTTCGTTAAGTTTTTCGGATCCGATCAGATCGTCTCGGAATCGGAGCTATAGCAACCTGATCGCCTCGTGTTAGCTGGCCAAATGTGTATAGTAAGTATATAAACTATAGATTTAGCTATATATATATTTGTGATACTGCATCTTATAGTGGGTTTTTTTTTCATAATTTATCGCTATATCATTTATTTTTCTCTTTTCTGGCAATTATCGTATTCGAAAAGGTCTAGAAACAGTTTGAATTTAACATAGATCAAGGTTTTTTACAGCACTGGAAGGCTCGGTATCGGTATTGGTATCGGTATTGGTATTGGTATCGGTAACGGTATCGGGTTATCGATAACTGTAACGGTCCGCGGTCTTAAATACTAGTAATTGCTTCGACGGCACGTAAGGGTAATTTTGGATATATCCGTTAGCTATGTTTGGGCTCTGATGGTAGCGTTAATAGCATTATTATCTGTTATAAATAGTTGGTAAATTGTAGCTTTATTTTACAGGAATTTCGTTTGTGTGGTTTTTTAGTGGTTTTTGTTTTGCTTTATAGAACGTGTACAATAATTTGGTCGTAGGTCTAAGACACTTTTTGGTTTTAATCCTTTTCCATTATATAAATAAATACATATACATGTGCATGTATATATTGTTGTTATATACAGAAAGTAGCGTTATACAATTTATTTAAATATATATATATATATATTTAGTAAGTAGTAGTAGGTATTTTCGTGACTTATGTGCGTAGTTAAGTAAAATCTGAGACTCGCTGTAAAATATATAACATATGTTAACGGGTTCTGCTTGGAGGGGTGCCGGGAGGGAGCAAATTGGAGGGTAGATATGGTATTATCATTATTATTTATATTATTATTATTTTCTGTTTTTTCTTTTTTTTTTTTTTGTCGGGTGACTCACAAGTACAAGTACACTTAACGGCTAAGTTTTAAAAGCTAGCTACACAAAGCACAACGAATGACAGGGATTAGGGATGTGAATGAGGACGAGGACGAGGACGGGGAGGACAAGGATTGCAGGGGGACGAGAGTACAAGGACTAGTATGGGCATAACAACGCTTACATCTACGATGTGTTTGTGTGTATGTTTGTGTGTGTGAGTGTGTGTGTGTGTGTGTGTGTATCGTCATCGATAGCTTGGCACGACTTAGAAGAAAAAGTTGCGCACTTCCTCATCCAAGTCGGTGGAGTCGACAAGATCATCTATGACGCCCGGCACAAGAAGCTCAATCACCTCCAAGTCCTTCTTGTCCTTGTCGCTAGCTGCTGCTGCTGCTGCTGCCGCCGCTGCTGCTGCTGCCGCCTGCTGCTGGACATCCGCGCAGCTGCCGGCGGAACTGGAGGACGGCAGTGGCATGGCAATTCCGGCATCCAGCAGCGCCTCGTAGGTGTCCTCGAGCAGGACGCCGCTCTCGATGGCCGCAACAGCCTCCTCATAGTATCAGTTGAGGTCGCGACGAAAGCTATCCTCGATGCTCGGATCGGCAATCATGATCGGACTCTGATCCGACAGCATCTGCAGTCCCGCCACATCCATTTGCCCCAAATCCAGATCAAGCGTATCGAAAATCTCCCGATTAAAGTCCGTATTCGAGGAGTAATCGCTAAATATAATAGCGGGTATATTGGCTGTGGTGGGCGTGTGGTTATGCGATTGGTGGTGCTGGTGGTGCTGCTGTTGCTGCTGCTGGTGGTGGTGTTGGTGTTGAGGCTGGTGATGATGGTGCGTTTGAGGCTGCGGCTGCTGCTGCTGCTGCTGGTGATGATGATTCATTATCATGTTGGAGTTGCAGGCGTTGCTCACGGGCGAGCTGCTCGACAGCGGCGAGTTCGAGTGGTGCGGCGAGTGCATCGGTGAGTGGTGCGGCGAGTGGTGCAGCGACAGTGACAGCTGCTGCTGCTGCTGCTGCTGCTGTGGGGATGCCTGCGCCGACATGGGTATGGGCAGCGGCGAGCTGGGACAGCCCAGCGGCGAGGGCACCGGCGAGGCGACCAGCGGCTCAGCCACGCCCCCACCATTGCTGCTATTGTTGTTGTGGTGCTGATGCTGACTCTCCGGCCCGTTCAGACTGGGTCCGCCATTGTGCGTTGCCGCCGTGCCCGCTCCATTGCTGTTGTTGTTGAGGAGTTGTTGCTGCTGCTGCTGCCGCTGCTGCTGCTGGTGTTGTTGTTGTTGCTGTTGCTGCTGTTGGTTGTTGATGCGTCTGAGGTTGTTGTTGTTGGCGCTCGCCTCGGGACTGGCGCTCAGCTCGCTAAAGTCCAAGAGCTTGTTTTGTGCTTGTTCCTGATTATGATAGGGTCCATTGGTGCCATTCGGCGCCGCCATATCGTCAAAGTCCAGAGCGACAAAGTTGTTGGCAAAACTTTGCTGCTCCGGCGACGAGTTGCTGTCGCCCAGCGAAAAGTTCTCAAAGTGATTGTGAAACGAGGGATTCAGACTGTTGTAGGCGGCATCAAAGGCGCCCGAGAGTTGCTGCTGCTGCTGCGTTTGCTGCTGCTGCTGCTGCACACGGATGGGACTGGCCGGTGCGCTGGTGTGCAGTTCGCTGCCGGAGACGCTGCTTAGCAGGCCGGGCGAGGAGCGCGGACTAGACGGATTGGCTGGCTGGCGATAATCGGTCAGATTGCCGGACACAATCGACGTGGAGGTGCCATTGTTGGCGCCCAGCGTCGGCAGCGGACTGAACGATAAGTGCGGCGAGCTGCTCGGCGGCTGGACGGGCGTGCTGCCGGCGCCGGCGGACGTTGGCGAGTGCTGTTGCTGATGGTACGGCGATGGTGGACCGCCCCCCGCCGCCGCCGCCGCCGGACTAAACGGACTGGGCGACTGATCCCGATCGCGTCGTTGATTGTGCGGCGACATAACGGGCGACAACGTCTGCTGCAGCAACTGTTGCTGTTGCTGCTGTGGCTGTTGCTGCTGTTGTTGTTGCTGCTGTTGCTGTTGCTGCTGTTGCTGTGGTGTTGCATAGTGCTGCAGTGCGGTGAGATTGGGCAGGGAGCCGGTATTGGCATAGCTGGCCTGATCCTGCAGCGGCCTGAAGAAAGAGTTCACGAATTTGGCATTGTTGTATGGCGTTGGTTGCTGCTGCTGCTGCGAGGGATGCAGCTGCTGCTGGTGTTGCTGTTGTTGCTGCTGCTGCTGCTGGTGCAGCTGCTGCTGTTGTGCTTGTGGCTGTTGCTGTTGGTGTATGTGCAGCTGTTGCTGCATATTGTGCTGATGCTGTTGCAGCTGCTGCAGCTGCAGCTGATGCGGCAACAGCGGCGACTTTCTCCTTTGTGCCTGCGGACTAAAGCTGCGTCCAATCTGATGCGGCGAGTGAGATCGTTGACTGTGCGGCGACTGTTGCTGCTGCTGCTGCTGTTGCTGCTGCTGCTGCTGTTGCAGCTGTGCATAGTTGGCGTGCAGCGAATTCATGTCCGTGGCAAAGCCACCTTCCGCGGCTACCGCGCTCTGGTGCAGCGCCGAGTCCGAGTTGGAACGGCGCCAATTCGTGTCCATTGGCGGACTCAAGTACAGGTTCTGTTGTGTGCCATTGTTGTTGTTGATGTTGTTGTTGTTGTTGTTATTGCTGGTGCTGCCTGTGCTGCTGCTGCTGCTGTTGGGCAGGCCCATCGCATTGATCAGACCGCCGGCGCCCGTTGAGCTGCTGCCGTAGGGCGAACGATCCTGCTTGCGCTCCGATTGCCGCCGCACAGGTCCGCCGCCCATGCTGCGCCCGCGCGACTCGCGATACGCTGTGGGTGAACCTCCACCGCCCCCGCCCCCGCCCCCGCCACTGCCGCCTCCACCACCGCCAAGTCCGTCCGGCGAGGCGCCGCCGCTGGCACCGCTGCCATTGCCGCTGCCGCCACCCGTGCCATTGCCCGCGCCCGCGCCCGCACCCGCACCCGCACCTGGCGAGGCATTGCTGGCGCCGCTGTCGATGCCGCTGACGCAGCACTCCAATATCTTTTGATTCGCCTGCGTCTCGTCCATTTTGGTGGCATACACCTCCTTCATGATGCGCTCGAACTCGGCTGTGCCCTCCGCCTGCTTCTGCTTCTGCAGCGCAATCTTCTCGCTGAACTTGCGCGGATTGGCCATGGCTGCAGTCCTCTGTGTGCGTGTCCTGATCAGTCTGCGAATATAGTTAGTTATTTTTACAACACATATAGATCGCCCTTACAGCCTATTCTCGGCTTCGGCTGTTAAAAGGCATGAGATTTCAATTCCTGCCGCGTTCGTTCTGTTTTGCTCTGCGCTACGCCAAATTATCGGACGCATCGATTCAAGTTTCTCTCTCTCCCACATAAACTACCTTGAAAGGGAGCAAATGTATGCGAATGAAAGTCGCAACTGGAATACCCTTTCTAAACTTTTAAGGTTCTTAGACTTTGACTGTATTTAATAAATAAAGTCCATATATATTTAAATTAGGTATTCTGTGTGCATAAAGATGTATGTATGTTCATCTATTTAAATGCCGCCCTTCTATGCGATTCTCAAACCTTCAAGTAAGATCCACACACTTTTTATACAAAATAATGACGCATTGCAGCTTAACTAAATGGTTTGTTATCTTTTTAGAAACTATGTCAAGTATAGTATAGAAAAATAATATATATATATATAAAGTATATAACCTATAACACTTTACTATATTTTACTACACAAGAAATCATAATACTTTATTCTCACTATTATATTTTGAATATTCCTTATCGAAGTGCTTGCTTTTAAAAGCAATTAATTTAATAGTTTTCGAATTGGACTTGAATTTATAACATTTGAACTTTCTTTTTCTCTGAGCTCACATACAAGTTTCTCTTAAGACTTGAAAATGGAATAATTTTTTCGATAAAGTCTTTTAGTTTTTATTATAATGCTCTTAATGCAGAAATAAAACATTTAATCAAATTTGTTAAGGATATCTATAGGACAAGTTTTGAAACTTTTAATTTAATTTTTTTAAAAATTAAGACCCATTTTATTTCTGGAAACTAAACATCCCTAAAACCCTTCGACATGTTTCTTCAATCAAAATACTAATACGAAAAGTTTTGGTACGTTGCAAAGTTGTTGAAAAAAGAAGTATACCCTTGTCATTTTAGGGTATTGCTAATGCTTTTGTCTGCTCTTGGCTTTATCAATGTTGTCAGCTGATAAGGCAGATAGTTGGCCTAACAAATCAGACATTGCCGTGGCGGCAACCTCGTACTCCACCTATCTAGCACTCGCGCTCTCTCTCTTTCTCTGTGTGTCGCCCTACTGTATCCCTTACTCACTCTGGCTCACATTGGCATTGTCTCCTCCGTTTGGTTTCAGTATTTCTCCGCGCTGCGATTTATTGCATAACGCGTGCGATATATGTTAAAAAGGGCGGGAAAAAAAGCCCATTCGCGGCAAAGTAAACAATAAGTTTATAGTTCGCTGGAACCGTCTCAGAAAATATATATATATTATATATATAGGGGTGCCAGGCGGGGCTCCGACAACCTGCAGCTGCAATACGCAAATGGGGAATTCGAAATCGAACTGACGCCCGTTGCGTAGCAAACGAAATAATTTTGCATTAATTGATTCGTTCGGTTCGGCGCAGTTGGCAAAGTTTTCGAGGGCCCCGAAACACGTGAAGGGTAGCCTATAACCTTTTGATATCTAGTTTCGCCTCACTTTTACCCTCACAATAATATCGATTGGGCATAAAAAAAACCCGTTTCGCAGCCTCAGTTTAATTTGGCCGTGTTTTTGTTACTTTTAGCTCAACTTGATGAGCTGGTTAAGAGGTTGACAAAAGATTTACCAAAAAGAGTTGACAAGTTTGTGGCACACACACACACACACACACACACACACACACACGCACACACACAATCTGGCTTTATCTGGGTGACAGAGCAATCGAGGCATGAAGTCATGCGTGGTCGCATGAATTCTTATCTGCGGATTGAACATAGATCTTGAATCGTGCTCGTGACTAACTACAAAATTAGCTAGCTGATCAATCAATTATATAGGTTAAATAGAGGGCGGCTTAAGTATAGAGTATACAGCTAAAAATATACTCAAATAACGCTGATTCATTGCGCTTAAGAAATATCTGTAGCACGAAGCTTAGGGTTCGAACCTCCATGCAGAAGGGTCAATGCATAGGATGTCTTGGAATTTGTCTAAAGTTGTCGTGCGTCACAAAAACAACATCAATACCCCTTTAATTTTAAACTTTATTCATTTGAGCCGGGCAATGCCGGGTAATTTCTTGTAGTAAACAATATTTAAAGAACTTCATATATGTTACTTTCACTGAAAAGTAGAATTGATAATTGGGGAATAGGTTTTGATGCTATTTAAAATTGAATCAAGCTGTGTCCTTGATTTAAATGGAACCAAGTCCAAAAAAAATTTGTCAGGAATCCTTTTCCCATTGTCAATAGGGCATAAGCTTGTTGTTCTTAATTTCTGTCCAAGTTTTTAAGAAGCCAAAAACCCTAAAAGAAGTTTCAAATACTTTACCAAGTACATAAGTTCTTAATTTGTTCCAAAATTCTTATTTGAAGCAGATACTGGGCCTACGAAACACCTACTTCAGACACAGTTTGGATATACATATAGACCCACTTTTATATGTATATATGCTAGTTATATGCATAAACCTATTTCTTTTCAGACACACAAACTATTCTCGCTTGTTTAAATACAATTTCATTTGAAGTTTAGCTGGAGAAATGGATCAAAAAAGTCGCAAGCGCACTTTAAGTAATCCAGCTTGCACTTAAGACATCCCAAAACGATCTCGAATCAAGTATTTTGTCATTAAAAAAACCTACTTGAACTAAGTACCTTCGTACTTAAGCCAAGTACAAACGGAACGGGGCAGATTTTGAGATCGTTTGTACTTAAACTGAGTAGAAAATACTTGATTTATTTTCCGAGTGTATTGTGTGTTTGGACTTTTAGTTAATCAACTTTCGAGCCAGTTGTTTTTACCAACCTATTTTGTTTTCTCTTCCAAGTTTCATGCGAGTAATTTCCCCTTCTTAAAAAGTCCCATTAATCATTAATGAGCTACCGTAGAGTTTCCTTACGCTTGGATGGCAATTATGGATTGGGTTTTTTGCTTTCTTGCTTTCTGAAACGCCCTCAATAGACTTTTGGGGGCTGAACAAAAGTCAATTTCCCGCAGCGATCGGCGGCAAATTCCAGCTAATTGTCAACAGGCCGGATGACTAACCAACTCGGAAGCGTGTCTCTGAGCGAGAACCAATTATGGCTCAAAGCAATGCGCCGGAATGGCTTTAACTGATTTGCGATTCAGCTCATATGCAGGCTCCTGTCCATAAGCTATTGCCACCGCCCCCCCCCCCCCCTGCTGTTACCAACTGTGGAAAGGGGGGTTCGGGACACGCCCATGAATGGCAGGGCAGAAAAAAAAACATTCCCACGAATCGATAATGACATTTAATAATGATTTAATAACCAAAACGATAAAAATTTACTTAGGCGCGCACATGGCTCAGGGTCGATAGCAGCGGAGGGGGGGGGGTGGCTTGGGGTAGACGAAGCAGGAAGAGCTACCCCCCCTGCTGCCGACGCTTTTGGGCCCTAGCCCTTGGTGGGTTGTGTTTTCGGTGCTCTTATCAGCTGCTTTATCGGCGCGCGCGCCATGGAATTTTTGAATAATTTTGCACTGTTTGTTTACGCCGCAAGCGAGGAAGGAGGGAAGAGGGAGGGGGAGGTGTAGGCAACGACAACTGTGAGAGAGAAGGGGCCCCACATGTCCGAAAGTTGCCACACTGTTGCAAATGAAGCGGCCGGCGCTTGAAAAACAGAACGAACGCGCTGCAGCGAGGGTGGAGGTGTAGGTGGCTGGTTGGGGGGGCTGTTAGGTAGACAAGAGTGCTTCTTCTTCTTATTTATACTTACTTGTCAAGCGCGCGCTATGACAACAAAAAATCAGTTGTTCTCGCTTGTGCTCAAGCGTGCTCACACGCTCCTCCTCGCACTTCTTCTTTTTTTGGGCGCTCTCTCGCGCGCTCTCGCTCTCTTTGCCAACTAACTGGCAACTCTAATTGGCCGGATTGGCTGTGCAAAAACAAAAGTTGAATAATTTCGCGCTGTCGTTGGGCTTTGTTGTTACTTAATTAAAATAAGTATGTTTTATATATGCATTAAATTATGATGGCTCTGTTATGGCTGAATATATACTATATGCACGTACATATATATTTTTTGGCGCTTTTTTTTTTTGTTGCTTTACTACTTGTTAGCGCCCAGCTGCTGTCAAGCTTTTCGTTTTGTTGTTTTGTTTGTTCTAAGCTCGCTCGTATGTAGCTTTTCTTGCTGTTGTTGTTGTTGTTATTGTTGTTGTTTTTTGGTTCTTTTTTACTGCGTCTTCTTCTTTACCGCGTACGCGCTAAAAACTTGTCAGCCGTTTTTATTTTGTTGTGTGGCGACTGATAAAACCAGATTTTATTTTGCGTTCTGCTTGTTTCTTTTTTAATACGAAAATTGATTTCTAATTTCAGTTTTGAGCGCTGCTGCTGCTGTTGTTGTTGTTGTTCGCGCCAGTTGGGAATTTGTTAATGGCCGCGCGCAAAAGATTTTTGTGCTGCTGCTGCTGCTGCTGCTGCTTCTTCTTCTTCTATAAGTTATTGTTGTTGTTTGCTCACTTACACACACGCACGCACACACCCATACACACATGCGCGCGCTTTGCTCGCGTTTATTGTTTTAACGCACAACTACGACGTTTTTCTTTGCGCTCAGCTGCTTGGGCACAATTTTTTTGTTGCTTTTTTTTGATTTTCGTTACCAACGAAATGAAAAACTTTTGTTGCGCCTTTGACCTCTTTTCACACGGACGTTGACTGCGACAGTGGCAGAGGCAGCAACGACACTTTAAATAGCTGTATTTGTGTGTTGTTTTGGTTGCGTTTTCCAATTGGGGTCCACGAGCATTTCCGATTGGGGTAGCGGGATTACAGCACGCGGATGGTTTGTTGGGGCTGGTTGCGGCGGCCCGTGCCCGAAGCCGATATTTGACCGTTATTGTATTGCATTTCCTTGTTGATATATTTATGTATGTACGTATGTAAATTTAGCTACTGCTCCGATTTTGTTTTTTTTTTGTTTTTCACCAACAACAGGCCAAACCAAGCAGGCACACACACGCACATGCACACGTACACGTATATGTACACACACGCACGCACACGGAGGCAGGCGCTTTCATTTGTATTATGTACACACACGTATTATGTATGTTATTTTCGTTGCACCGCACTCGCACAAACTTATCATAACGATTCGACTGCTGCTGCTGCTGTCGTTTCTTCTTCTTCGTTCATCTTCGTCGTCTTTTTTTTTTATTAATTTTATTTTTGTAGTGTCGTTATTATTGGGCACTTTGCGTTTAACTGGCACGTTTTCAATTGTTGTTAACGCGCCATTCAACTGCGCATAGTTATCGCTGCGTTTTTCAACAAAATTTATCGCATTTGTTTTGTTATTTTCACTTTTTTCTTATTAGATTTCTGGTTTAGCAGCAGTGACTAAGAATACACTAAAATTGGTCAAGCGCGTGGAACGGAACTGGTTTGCCACGGAGCTGACTGAGCAGGTTGTCAAATGTTCCCGCTAGATGGCGTCTCCGAAATGCGTCACAGCGCTCAACAGTGGCGGAACTGTGCGGCGAGCGTTCAACAGTTGAATTCTTAAATAAATGGCTTCGAGTTTATTTTTGCGAGCCAAGTGTATATAAAAAATAAAAGAAAGAAGAAATTGGATGATAAAAATGTGACAATAATAATAATATAGGTAAGTGCAACTTGCAGATATATTAATGCATGTGTAAATTTAAAGCGCAGCTCTATTTAAGCTTAGATTGGATGGCACGCATCAACACACACTCACACACACAAAATTTGCAATGTCTGTACATACGTGTGTGTGTGTGTGTGTTCGTACGCCTGTTTCCTTTTCCGTTAACATTTTGTGTCTGGTTTCCGGCATTTTTGTGCGCCGTTTAAAATTGTTTCCTTAGATACAAATCTGTGGCAGCAACAAATTTCGTTTTACAGACATTTGAATGCCAATTGCAAGCAAATTGCCGCCTGCGGCACCAACATTTAAGTTCTGCGCCCTTTGCCCCTTGCCCCGGAAAAGAGCCAACAACAATTTCTAGTTTTAGTTTTCGAAAGCGAGTCAAAGGAAATGCCGGAGCGCAAATTGAAATGTGACCACGTTTGCCAGATGGCCTGTCTATATAACTGGGCGAGCATGGAAATTATATTTCTACGTGGCCAGCTTTGAATTAATTAAATGAAACGCATAAATTGTTTGGCGTAAGTTAAGAGAGCAGAAAACCAAACTAAAAGTAAACATAGTTGGCGAAAGACAACTTCAAGAAGGGCGTTATTATTAAAATTCCAATGGGCGGTAAATATAAATGTATACACATTTATCTGCGTCTATTATTATTCTTAAGTTAATCGATATGTTGTTTATTATTTAAATAATGTGCAACAAAACCACGAACCTTTTATTTAACTGCAATTAAATTTATGCATGTTTTCTCTCATGAAAATCGCATAGAAAGGCGATGTTCAAAGATGTAGTTAGTAAGAGAGCGTGAGAGCGAGAGATACAATGCAGGTGTACAAGCGAGAGCATACAGAGAGAGAGAGAGAGAAGAGAGAGGGAAAAAGAAAGAGAGAGTGAGAGAGCACATGAAAGAGAGAGAGAGAGAGAGAGAGAGAGGGAACAAGGAAAAGAGAGAGCGAGAGTGAGAGAAAATGAAAGATTAGAGTGAGAGAGTAAGAGTGAGAGGGAGATAGAGAAATATCACACTTATTCGTATATAAACACTTTAAACATACAAATAAATAAAATAGAGATATAAATTTAGTTTTTTTGTACTCAGTTTTTGTTATAGTAAAATATAATTCCTACAATTTTTGTTTTACGGCCGCAAGCTCCATTAAATCAAATTTCCGTTACACATGATAAAACAAATCTTATTTTAAGTACAGAAAAGTGCTTAAATCAAGTACTTTATATGGGGCCTTAGAATTGTAGATTGTAATTTACCTCACGTTTGCCAGCTTTGAGGCACGCTTACTTGACATTCGATGGATTTATGAAACATTCAATTTTGCAATTCTCGACAAGCTTTCGAGGCATAACACTTTTGAACAAAACAAAAACATTATGCGACTACCCCAAACCCAGCTACAACAATTCTTCCTTCGGTTATTTGGCTGCTTGTTCCATTAAATTAGTGGAACAATTCGCATTTAACGCATATTAATTTCCAACTACCTTATCGCGAGAAGCTCTTCCAGCTGCACATCTCATTTGGCGCGTTTTTTTGTTGTTGTTTAACAAAAACTCTCGTTGCCCCGGGGGCACATTGAGTTGTTATCAGTGTCGCTTGTTATCATTTGATATCATCGCCGATGCGGCGGAGGGGGAGGTGGGGGAGGTGAAGGCACACCCACAAGCAATTGATATTGCGCCGCGATTGCCTCTTGCATTGATTTCTTGAATTTCAATCAAAGTTCAACATGGCATGGATTTTTTTTCCGCTCTTATTGTATATTATTTTTTATTACTAATATTCCTTTTATTTCGTTTTGGTTATGGGGAATGTTGTTATTTTTTTTTTCTGCTTCCATCCAACGTTGCGTTCAGTCGAGCGTCGGCATTTTGGGCACTAACAATTAAAAGTAACGGCAGTTGACGCTACATTTAACGGTATGTGCATCCATATATACGAATTTGAGTGTGACTGTGTGTGTGCCTTTGTGCCTGTGTCAGTGTGTGTGTGTGTGTGTGTGTGATGAACTCTTAATAAAGAGATAGCCAGCTGTAAAATTAAATTTTATGTTGCAAAAAAAAAAAGAAACACAGAAACAACAACAAAAAAATGGCACACACACCTGTCCTTAAGCTTTCAGTTCATTAATAGCAGGATTGCATGCGGCAACAACTATAAAAACAACTGCAAAAGGCACTTCACAAAAGGGAGCACAAACAGTGGAAGGATCGAGGAAGCTTGACTGGGTGATACCCTGTGCTTAGTTTTGTGCATTCGTATTTTGGCAAACAGCGAAACAACAATTACTAAAACTCAGTCTCGTTTGCTTGCTCACTCTCTCACCTACTAGCTGAAAAAGAACAGCTTAATTTAGTTCATGAAAATCGCATAGAAAACCGTTACAGAAATTCGGGATATAACTAGTTGCAGTGAGAATCTTATGGAGCATGTGGGCGGGAACATGCAAGAGAAACCCAAAGAGAGATAAAAAAGCAGTAAGAAAAGAGAAAATGCGAGAGAGATAGAGAGAGAGAGAGAGGCAGAGAGACAAAGGGTCAGAGAGAGACCAAGAGGCAGACAAACAGAAAAAGACAGAGTAAGAGATTTGGAGAAAATGACTTGAGAAATGAAGGCACAGAGAGAGAGAGAGAGAGAGGGAAGGATTCAGAAAGAGCAAGAGATACAGTGAAGTAACAGAGAGAGATACAGAAAAGAGAAAGAGAGACAGAGGCAGATGGAGAGAGACAGAGTCAGAGAAAAAGAGAGAAGAGAGTTAAAGAAAAAAAAAGGAAAGACCGACAGAGATGTGGAGAAAATCGCTGTTAACTAAAGAAAAGCAGACACGGAAACAGAGACAAAAGAGAGAGATAGAGAGGGAGGTAGAGAGAGAGAAAAAGAGGGAGATAGAAGAGAAGAGAAAGAGAGAGGTAATATAAGTGGGACTGCACGTGAGTAAAAGATAATGAACAAGGACAGACAGTCAGTGCTCTGCATTTAACTAAAAGTTCTATCGAAATCATGAAAGCACCTGAACTCATGAAAATCGCATAGAAGGGCGTTCGATGCTTTGCAACAGAGCATAAATACAAACCTTTTAACCCTTTTCAGTGGACACAGGGTAGAACAAAAGAAAATCGATATAAAAATCGGAAAATCATTTTCGCTTCCTAAACGCTTTCATATGCGTGTTCTCTAAAAGTTTTCATTAAGGATTCGGTTGGGTTTTGTTGTCGGCCTGCAATTGAATGTTGCAGGTGGAATTGAATTGAATACGCTTTCAAGAACTCATTTGCATTCCCAATCAAAATAGTGTTGAGCGGAATCATTGCGCTTTTGTCTTTTGGCCCTCGAAAATCTGCTCTTGCTCTTATTCGGGCCTTCAGCTCGTTATCGTCTTGGCAGCAACAACAACAACGATAACAACCGAAAACAACGACAATTTCTTGTTGCTTGTTTGTTTGCCAGGCCGCAGAGACAGCAAACAGCAAGCAGAAGTAGACAGACAATTGGTTGGGGGAGCTAGGAGGAAGCTAGGGTAGACCGGGTAGATAGGGCGCTGGAACTGTTTCCGTCTGCATTTGTTGTCAACGACAGGCGAGCACTTTAGTTGTGCACATTAAACGTAGCTGCCGTGTATGCCATATGCCACCCAACCACGCCCCCAACCCAATCTCGCCCACTTTGGCGGAAGCTTGCTATTCGTGTCGGTGTGTGTGTATTTTTTCTTATGAAATTTTCGAGAGAATTGCTCGTTTATTCATTAAATTACAAAGGAGCAAGCGAGCGAACAATGCAATTTGCCATAGCTAGAGCACAGGCACGCCCCCATCTGCCCGCCCAGCCCACTTCACGGCCCCTCGAGCCCATCCGACCCCGCAAACAGACAGCATGTTCGACATTTGCCAGTAGCAATTGCAAATGCAATTGAAGTTTTACTCTTGCGCAGCTCTTAAGCCGCTTAATTGCTGCCAAATACTCCAGCCCTCAAAACTGAAGTGAATGCCTCATAAATCTTCAGAAAAAGGGCTCCTCCATTGTGGCTGCAAAATATCGCTCCTACGCAGAGCTGATGAGGCGAGGCGTTAATAAGCCCCTAGGCAAGTGGCGGACACAAATGTGCTGCAACAAGATGGTTTGTTCAGGGCAAAGGATGCTGTTGTCATTGCTGCAAATATGCAAATTTTGATCAATTTCAAGGGTGATAGGGCCTTCGATAAATAAGTTTTTGTTATTTATGCTCAGTACCCAGGCGAACGGGAAGAAGGTTTCATCTCTAGTAGAACTCCAGCTAGTGGCAAAAATTTGATGATAAGAAGTAAAAGAAGTTTTCTTATGTATCGATAATTATCGATATTCAACCTTGATTAATTGTTATCGATAAATGTTTCGATTTGGTTTAGATTCTTAATACACATTACGTAGGTTATAACTGCTTGAGATAAAATTTGGCATGTAGCTTCTTATCGATAATTATCGATAGCTTACCCCATCAACTCATTAATATATACATAATAAATGTAGTATATAGCTTTTTATCGATAATTATCGATAGCTTACCCGACGAATGTCGAGATGCGCCTTGGATTTCCAATGCACTTTACAAAGCTTACAGTAGCTTCATACACAAAATATGGTGTGTAGACCTATTTCGATAATTATCGATAGCCTACCCTGTACATTCGTTATCGATGAATGTCGACAATAATCTCATACGAGTGTGTATCTAGATGATTTTAGTAGCTAGAGATGCACATTTTGGCATGAATGTTTTTTATCGATAATTATCGATAGCTTATCTCAATTATCGAAATCGCTTATTTTCTTATTTCGCATAGTTTTCAGACTAACGCAGCTAGAGACTGAGAATTTGGCTAAACTTAAAGCATATACAGATCGAAAATATTGAATTTTTCCTATAGATACTTTCCCTTTAATTTTCGATAAATTTTCCAAAGAAGCGCAAGCAAGTTCAAGACTTTCTTTATATAAAAATTGGGAAATTTCTTAGGTTTAGCAATGTAAAATTAAATTCAAGCGACGTCTTTCAAGGTGTCAAGACCACAATACACGCTGAAAGGGGCAAAGGCAGCGGACAATGCCGAGTTTCTTATTAAGTGGATTGTTTGTTAATGCGCCAGCCAATTGAATGGAGCCCAGCGAATGGCCAACAATGAATAGACTCTATTTATTGTATTAAGAAACTGGAAAACTCTTGTAACTTTGCTGCTGCTTTTCCAGCTGGACATTATCATGACGAATACTTTGTGGATGCCGCTGCTCGGAGCTCTACTGCTTGCCATGGCGAATGACGCGGGTGCCGCTTCGAGTGCCTCATTAGCAGGCACTGCGGAGCGGGAGAGGGAAGCCGGGATGCCGGCTCAAAGTGTGCTGGCCCTGGTGCCGGCAGCAGGTAAGCACTTCCTTTTTTTTATGCGCGCGCGTTGCAATTAAGCTTGTTTATCACGCATACGCACCGTGGCACGTCACTTGGCTTCCCCCTGCAAAAGCGGGGGGCGGGTGCGTAAGAGGTGGGAGAGGGGGGAGGGGGGATGGGGAGATGTCAACGAATGCGTAATTGGTCTTTCGTTTGCTGCATTTAGTTGGACCAGTTTAGTTTTTGTGTTTCGCCACAGCTATCAAAGAAAAATAGAGAAAAACCCCAAAAATAACTCAAGTGTCACTCGCGCATTCCCTGAGAGCGAGCTGCCGAGCGAGCAAAGACTTAAAATACGACACAGTGAAGACTGCCTACAAGTGACGGCAGCTGAGAGAGAGAGGGAGAGAAAGAGACAGCTGAGATGTTTCAAATAACTTGACACAGTTGACAAAAGAGCGGAAATTATAAGAAAATGTAATAATTAAGCGAGAAAGTAAGGACATGTCCGGCATGCCGACGATTGAATACCCTGGCAGACATTTACCTTTTGCAGATAGTGAAGCTCGTAAATGCTGAGTGTGATGAAAATATCTTGGGAAAAATAATATTCGTTCCAACTTTTCTACTGATCGTTCCTATAGCTATATGATATAGTGGCCCGATCCGTCTGGTTCCATATGTTCTGCCTGCAACTGAAAGACAGAGCTATGCAAAGTTTCAAGACGATAGCTTTAAAGACTGAGGGACTAGTTCTCATAGAAACAGACAGATAGACAGACCAATAGTTGATGCTGATCTAGAATATAATACCTTTTGGATTCGAAGATGTTACCTATGCGTTACACATTTCATGACAAAATTTTAAAACCTTCTACAAGGGTATACAAAAAGGTCACAATAAACACATATATTTATTAGGTTTCTACTTGTAATGCATAGAAGAAGACGTTTAAGATTCCCTAATATATATAAAAATGCATGATCAGTATCAACACCAACTACGTCTGTTTATTGTAGACAGATTATATATCGGAATTGGCCAGCTTGGGCCGGATAGTACTATGTATACTATATATAGCTGTCGTTCGAATGATCGATCGATAATTAAGTTCTTACCTGTGCAAATTTTGTGCTTTTCATGTTATTTTAAACTTGGCATTTACGTGCCTTACCTTGCTTCACAGGAACAAAATCGTCAACAATGAAATACTATATAATATGGCTCTATGGGTAGAATCTGTAGAAAATTAAGTTCTCTATATATAGGTAGAATCGGTTGAAAATGAAGTTCTTGCATGTCTTTGTTTTTTAAGATATCTTAAACAAACTTGTCATTTATGCAGTTTACTTTGCTTTCTATCTATATCTTATCAAATCTTATCAACTATGGACTACTATATAATATAGATTTATTGGAAGAATCTTTCGCGTAAAGAATCTGCGTGTGGGACAATTTAATGTTTTTTTTTTAATTATCTTCAACAAACTCAGCATTAACGAGCTATCTTCTATCTTCCCAACTTAATTGCAAAGTCTCATCAAATCGGACTACTAATTGTTATGGCTTCTAAAGCTGTAATCGGTTGGGAAATATTGTTGTTGACTGGCGCACTTAGTGAGTGTTTACTGTGCTCCTTTGGATCGCCGTTTGCATTGTGCGTCGCTTTCAACTATTTTTAAGCATTCGTCTCATGCGCTGCGGTTGCCAGCAGCACTTGACAATTGCTGTATCCGCTTGCCGCTTCTCGTTGTCGTCCTCATTGTTGTTGTTGTCACTGTTGTTGTTGTTATTGTTGTTGTTGTTGTTGTCGCTGTTGTTGTCTCGCCCTCATCCGCTTAACGCTGCTGCCTTTGCCCGGCTTCCGTTGCAGCATTTTGATGTCACACTCATTCATTTGTCACGCATCACAGTTGCTGCTGTTGCTGGTTTTGTTTACAGCTGTTGTTGTTGTTGTTGTGGCTGCTGTTGCTGCTCGAGAGTGCGAGTCCGAGTTTATTCTTGGCATCATTAAGCGTCGCTGATAACACTTAACATAGTTATGCGCGCATATGGCAGCGGCATGTGGCACAGCACGGCTCTGCTCGGCTAAATGCCAGCCAGTTGCCATTCGAAAACAAAATGTAAATTTCTAGTGGTCACGTGATGCAGCAACATTTCAACAGCAGAGAGAGAGAGGGAGAGAGGGAGAGAGGGAGAGGGAGAGGCATAAACTAGCAGAGACTCAACAACTTTCGCTTTGGCTTTTCGCAAGTTGTTCGCTTTTGTTTTCGCTTTCGCAGCTGTCTGACATTTTGGGTCAGTTGTCTCATTTATTTGGCGCTTCTCAACTTTAAATGTGATTTATTGCACGGAAGCAAAAACACAAACAGACAAGAGAGAGAGAGAGAGAAGGAGAGGGGCGGCAGCGAAAGTTTTTGCGCGTTGAACACGGCGTATGATTAACGTCAACGCGTCGTATGCACAATGAGAGCTGAAAGTTGAAAACTGATTTTCCAACTGCAACAAAAGTATAAAAATAATTCAAATAACTGCGCGCGGCGACACATGGAAAAACAGTTAATGTCCAATTATGAGTAAATGCGCCGGAAAATGCGTGCATCTCAAATCGACTCAGCTGGAAAACTAGTTTTCTTTTAACGCCAAAGAAAGTGTTGGGCAAAAAAATGGGCAAACTCTTCGAAACGAAAAATGCGGAAGTGCGCAAAAAGGCTGCAGGCATAACTGGAATTACTTTAAAACAATTACGGAGACACAAGTAAATGCAGTCTTGGTTCGATAACGAATAAATGCGCCGGAAAATGCATGCAAGGCAAGTGGAGGCGGCTGGAACACAAGTTTTTTGATTTGAAAGAACTCAAAGAAAATAAGCAATAAAAATTAAATGTTATATATGTTTAAGGGCAGCTGAAGCTTAAAGACGGAATTGGTTTTGTTTAATATAAACAATAATAATTAATGAATAATTAATGAATAATTGGAAAGAATTCAAAGAAAATAAGGAAAAAGCTAGCTATACTGCTTGTTCTGCCTTTTATATACCCCTATACCCTGTATATACATTTTCAATTTAGTTAAGGATAGTTAATGCTTAAGTTTAAAGATGAATTTGGATTTCCGGGTCCCATAGCTCGGTCAAAACTCAACCGATTTTCATAAGATTTGTCTTTTTGTTCATGGTTTGAACTCTAAATCAATTTGGCATCTAAATCTGGCAACATTATTTTTGGTCACTTTACACGTTCTTCTCATTTTCAAAGATCTTTGAGAGAATTTATTTTATACGTGCCACGGGCAAGGCCATGATATACCCGCTAGTACTTAATAATTTAAATTGCGTATTGAATACTTACGAGCTATTTTTATATAAAATGCGGCACAACTATCTTTTGTTGAAGCCGGCCTTTTTTTCATCAACTGCAAATAAGACTAAATTTTGCGTATTCCTGACTATCCTTTTGATTTGCCCGTTAAGAAAATCCTTTGGCAATTGCAATTGATTTTTCATTTACCTTTTCTTTTCTTTTGCGTATCTTTGGATTATCAAACAATTTGATTTCCGCCTCCATGAGAGGTACGAGAACTGCCTGTCTGGGGTTATTTTTGCTTTACCCGTTTTTTTTTTTGCTTTCCTGATGGGATCACAGGGCGTATATCCGGAGCGTTCCGTTGATTGCCAGCTCGGCATCAATAGTTGTTTAATGCGAATGGAAGGCAATGCCATTTCGCCTTTTGTTTGGCCCTCAAAGTCAGAGCAACTTGTCTAATGACTGCAATTTGATACGCTTATCAATGATTCATTTGGCAATCACCTGAAAGCGCACTATAAGCCGGCCGACTACAGAGTTGGCTGCTCATTATTATAGCAATTGCATTTGACTGACAGTAAGCAGCTGGTTAAACTCAAACTCAAATAAAATAACGAGCTCTGCTCGGTCTGAAGAGAGCTGGGCACGGACAGCGCTTAGATTTTAGACTTTTCGAAATTACATTTCTTGTTTAGCAGACACTTAAAAGCCAAGTTCACTTTTTTCCTTCTTCCTTTTTTTTCCGCCCGTAGCACGCGGCAGTTTTCTGCTCTACCAATTAGCAACGGCCATAAATTCTGGCGACTACCCCTGGCTGGAGCTGGAGCTGGAGCAGGAGCACGAGCAGGAGTTACTTGTAGAACAGGAAGTCGACTCCAGCTGGCTGGCCGCAATGGCAAATGAATTTCAGGTATGAGCCACTTAAATCCATATCGAGCACAGATACGACCCCGACCCTCTCTCGCTCTAACAAAAAAAAAAAAAAACAAAATAAAACATAAATCACGCGCTTTTTTCTTGTTGCTGCCACACTTTTAGGGCATTTTAAACATTTTTCCGGCTCAGATGTCTGTCAGTGCACTGGGTTCACGAGCACGTGACCACGTGCTGGACACGCTTCACTCGCCAGAATTCCATTTCCAAAGGACCAGTTGGTCGTTGGTCGTGAGCTCAGTGCATCGAGTGGAACAGAACCATATTTGAGTTGGGAAATTCGCGCGGTGGCTTTCTGTTGCACTATATATTGAATAGGTATATGCAGTATATGAATCGTTTGATCTTTGAGAATGGGGGCAGAGAGAGAGAGAGAGCGAGTTAGAGACGGAACGTCGTGAGAGAGTGAAAGAGATATAGAGAGAAAGATAGAGATGGAGAGAAAAATGTAGAGAGAAAGAGACATGAAGAAAGAGATATGGAACGAGAGAAAGAGACGAAAAAAGTGAGTGAATGGGAGAAAGAAACTGGTGGAGAAATCAAAACTTTAAAGGCTTACTTGAATTCATGAAAATCGCATAGAAGGGTGGCGTTTAAACACGTTGTGATTTAATTGGGAGCGCAGCAGCAAAATTGTGTACGTTTATTAAAATTGTAGTATTCATATAATTGATGCATAAATTCATTTAAATTCCTAATTGCTTCGCCTAAATTTTGGCTTATAAAAAAAACTATATTTTTAGTATGCGGCTGCCGTAAAAAATATTTTAATTAAATTTTTGGCAAGCTCGTATTGCAGATTCGGCAATTAATTTACGCTAAAAATTGCCTATTAGGTTACATAATTCAGTTAAATTTTATTATAAAAACAAATCAACTGGTATCTTGTTTTTATCAATAACTGTAATCGCAGTTATTGATTATTTATTGCGTAATAGCTGCCAGCTATTTTAATCTCCAAGTCCAATCAGCTCAACTGCTTGCCAATGGAAAGCAATTTCTCTATTTCTCTATGTGGGCGTGTGCCCAGGAAGTTTCTAATTATGGACGGCACAAATGGATGCGTACGAATGTGGCCTCTGGACTGGCTACCAGCCCCTCCCATCGCAACTGGCTTAAGTCGCTGGAGAGCTGGAAGCTGAACTGTTGTTGCCTTTGCCTTGATTTGCTTTGCTTTGCCATGTTGCTGCTGTTGCACTTGCAACATCGCTTGGTGGCATGCTGTTGCTGCCATGTGCTCATGTCCTCGGGACAGCTGCTTTGAATTTTTAGATTGTCCAAATTCATGCAAATATTTTTGCATAACAACAACAACACCAACAATATGAGCAGCTGCTTTTATGGCTTGCCCAAGTGCCTTCGCCTTGGCTAGTTAGTTTTTATTTTCAACGCTTCTCTGGTCTGTTAAATATTCCATATTGATAAGGAAGCGCCTTTGAGACCATTTTATGCACTCCGTGGCGCACACATTTGGCTATTTACTTTTAATTTTCATATTTGACACTCGACGCAGTGTCGGCGTTCCGGATTTTAACTTTGAGTTTGGGGCTAATGGAGATGAGCGCGTGGCGTGTTTGCTTGCGAGACACGAGGCGTGCTAAGAAATGAAAGTTCTCCCCGAAACATACATATAGAGTGCGTTATATAATAACTGAGTAAAGAGTGCTCTAGTCGAAAATGCCCGTCTAAGGGATACGCTGAACCTTTTTCTATCAATACCAAATGCAAATACCGGACCCACTGCCTCATTTCTAACAGTCCTACCCTACCCCTTCGCACATGTATAAAGAAGGCTTCTCAATATAATCCTTAATAACTTCTGTGTCTCTTAACCGATATTGTTAATATTTTCAGCAGTAGAGATCTACTGTGCTATAAAAGCTATTCTTGAAACCTAAGAGATTTGCTCAAAAACCAGGATTTCGATATTGTTATCGATTACTTCGAAGCGGGGCGAGCTATCGATTATCCGAAATAAACGTGTACAGCACGGGCATACTACGTTCATAATTTCAAGCCTCTAGCTCTAATAGGTTCTGGGATCTTTACGTTCATATATATGGACGGACAGAAGAATAAGATTAAGAATATATATCTTTTATGGTATTTACCTGTCATTTTTACCCATTTCCGCTGAGTTCAGGGTATGAAAATATCTTAATATGTCGAAATTTATTTATTATACCATAATAGCATAATAACTTATTAGCAGCACTTTTTAATTGAGCTTTTAAAAGTCGTTTTTATTTAAAGTTCTACAATTTTTGACGGCTACAATTTTTGAGAATTTTATATTTAATTTATTTCTTTATTATTTTCAATATTTTCAAGTCGTCACGCGCGCTCCTCTAGCCGGATTAAACGGCTCTGCGAAACTCTTGAACTCCGGCTGCATTGTTGGTTGGCTTTAATGTGGCTTGGCGCTTGCCAAATTGCCAAGTTGCTAGTTTGCAGGCACGTTCAAGTCCTTGACTTAAATAAAAAAAAAAGAGAAGTAAAATAGAATATACACCAGGGATTACTTTGCTTAATTCAACTGCAAATGAAAAGTGTTTGTTCGGTAAATTCAATCTTGCCAGCATCTTGTTGACGTTGTCATTACGCCCTGGTCCTGGCCCTGGCCCTGGCTTTGGCTTTGGCACTCTGGCTCAGATTCAGCTGGGCTGGGTTTATGGTTATGGCCGGGTTGGAGAGAGGTGTCCAAAGCGGCGCCCTCTTCGAGTTCATCAAAGCGTAATCTGCACAAAATGCCGGCATTTCCTGCTTGTCGCACAAGCAAAAAAAAAAAAAAGAAATGCCGCCAACTTTAAGCTAACTATGCGTCCTTGAGCCGCTTCAGGCGTGAGGCCCGTCCCCGCCCCCGCTCCGCTTTTAATGGAGTCATAATTTTTCAGCTCGTTAGCAGCAAATACATGCAACGTAAATATGCTTGCCCCAAAATAGAATGCCAGACATTTTTCGTGTGCCTCACATTTTTGCATACCCCGCAAATTGTTGAATACATTTTGCGAGCTGTATGCGGCTTACAGTTTCCCGCTGGATATAGTCGGGCTGGCCGGGCATCTGACAGTCGTGGCAACTCTCAGCTGCTTCTGATCCGGCAGTGTATTAAGCCTTTTGGACTGACAAGTTGCTTAATTGAAAAGTGTTTTGTTGGGATTTCGAGGCGGCGGCGCCTGCCACCTGCCCACGCAGGCTGCTGATTTGGCAACTTTTGCTTTCGCAGTCAATAATTTGCCCTTGTTTATGCGCGTGCCTTGGATAGCTAAAAAAAAAGAAGTAAAGTAAAGTAGAGGGACATCAACAGAAGCCGGCAATTTTTCAAGGGCCTTCCTGCCTGCCTCTGGCTCTGCCCTGCCGCATCCAGTTTCCAGCTCGGGCATCTTTGCCACTTTTCATTGCTTCCTCGGAGCTGGTGCTTGTGTCCTCCAACAGGCGCTGCCATAAATAATTATGTTATTTTAGATAGCTTGTGCTTCCTCTTGTGTCGCCTTGAAAATTGTTGCAATAATTATCACATTTTTCATGTCGCCATTTTTCATGCACTCAAAAATCTCTCCCTGACAGTTTTTTCCCATAATTAAGCAGACACGGCAGCTAATGCCACGCCCACACACACACACACACACACACACACACAGTCCTGTTCTTAATGCTTTATGATAGACATTAGAGCGATAAGCATTTCTTTTTTTTTATGTATTTTTAATTAACTTTCGTGTTGTTTGTATGCCGCATAATCCCATCAAAGCTGCTGCTGCTGCTGCTGCCGCCGCTTGCCGCAACAAATTGGCCAAATCAAAAGGCAGCCAAATCGTGTCTGTTGCTCGTCCTTTGTGTGGTCGCCAGTCTCAAGTGTTTGTCTGTCTAATTGGCAATTTTAATTAGCCAGTCAGCGATGCTTGCCAAAAACTGTCCAACTGTTTGTCCACTGCACTCCACTCTGCATCCGTCCCAGATTCCCGTGTGGCCAATCTGCACAGTTTTGTACGCATCTAATATGAAATCGCTTAAATTCAGTCCAGCAAATTTATAGACTGCAGTTTGTCGACCCGCATCGCGGCAGCCACCAGCTTACGGCAAACAGTGCCGCGTTTACCTTGCCGTGATTGTGCTGCCAGCGCAAGTGCAACACTCTCTCCGCCAGCCAGGTGCAGCTCAAGAAGTTTAGCACATTTTAACATTGATCTTAAATGCATCTTCGAAACTTTAAGCTTTGCCAAAACTTGACAACATTTTTGGGAGAAAAAATTATGCCTCAGCCTCAGCTTTCACAAATTTTTCCACAATTTATGCGATTTTGACGAATGAGTTTGACAAATGGTTTAGCCTGCAGGTTTATTCCAAAAATCTAAACAGATTGGCGAATACAATTTGCTTTAATTTTTAACTGTACTGTGATTGTATGTGCATAATTTTCCGGTTGCCTTTTCTTTGCCATAATATCTCATATCTCTCTTTAATATAAGTATAACAAAATAATTTCCTTTAACTTGGAATATTTAACTTAATTTTTTATTATCGATTTGATCTATCTATCTTAATACTTTTCGGTTAAAAGTCATGCCAAAAAATGCGAATAATTTTGACAAATAAAATTATTTGGATTTTCTTTTTTTTTTTAATATTCCATGTGCCCCTTTAATAGGAACTAAATTTTGTTTTTTTTTTTAATGAAGGTGTAAAATGTAGTCAGATTTTGATAAATTAGGATAATTTTAGACATGGTTTAGCCTTTAGATTAATGCTGCACACAAGATCCATGCAAACTGGCAAATGAAATATTTTTGACTTTTTCTTTGCAAAAACATATTTTGGGAACATTTTTTTCTGTTTCTGAAACTTATTTGCAATGGATTGTGCATAAAAATTGAATAGGCTTTTCAAAGAAGATTCAGAGGGGTCCACATTATGGCCTATAATCATTTTCGCTTCTAAAATTTCGATTCTCCAGTTAATGCCCGACTAGAGCCCTCATGTTTGTTATCTCGAGGCGTTAAATATTCGCTTGGGCAACTTATTAGGCCAACCTCGTTCGGCTGTGACTAAAACATGGCTTAAATGCGTTGACACTGTTTGCAACAGCTTTCAATTAAGCTGCTGTCGTTCGCTCGCTTCCCTTTTAATTAGGTACCGAACTAGCGCATTTTTGTATCGCTGTTTGTACTTTCCGGTTTTTAGTTACCTTTCCACAAGGTGCCCTTTATTAATTGCACCTGAAATTGTTGCCCATACGCAGCGTTGCACCGGAAATTAATTTCTGTGCGCTTTTAAGATCGACTCAAGAAAAAAACACGTAGCTCATGAATTCCTTGACAATCAGGTTGTCTGTCATCTTAATGAATGCGCGGATTATTTAATTTGCGCAACATTCTTAACGTTTATTCATTTTATTGCAGAATGTGCCCGTCCCAGAAAACTTTCCGCTGCAATTGCAATCCTGGCTAATGGATAGCTACGGCCTGAGCGCCATCGATGTCTATCAGAGTTGGCCCACGGCTCGATCTGGCCGTGCCCAGCATCTGACCTGCAATGCCCTCGGCGAGTGCCATGAGTTGGCCCAAATTGTAGACGCATGCTGTCCATTTTGAGCAACGCGGCCGTGTGGCAAATAAACGTATTTAAAATCGCTCAGAGTATATCAAAATGTTGTGCACAGTCACAGTCACAGTCACGGCGGGCAATGGCCCACAGACAATTATTGATCACCAGATGCGGAGTTGAGAGTGTCCGCAATGTGACCATTAAATGTTGTTGCTGCGGTTTGTCTCTTGGTCAACTCGTTGTCGCTGTTGCACAGACAAATAATCGAACTCCCAGCTGCTACTGCCAAGTTCTGTGGCGCCATTTTATACCCTACACTCGGCGAATACAACTGGGGTGTGCCGCATTTGGGGGCTGTTTGTACTTAGTATGGGAATATATTGTATTGTTGAGTTTAGGATATTGTATAGGGTTTATAATAGCCAGGTATGGAAGCTATTATGTGAAATAAGATTTGTATAAAGGGTATTGTGTGGTCTGTCTACTAACTATGCATGGAAGCTATCAGGTGAAAAAAGTAGGATATAATATAGCTTTGCATATAGGGTATTGTGTAGTCTATATATTAGTTAGGCATGAAAGCTATCGTGTGAAACTAGCCTTTCATATAGGGTATTGTGCAGCCTATATACTAACTATGCATGAAACTTGTGAATCTAGATTTGCATACAGGGTATTGTGTAGTCTATGTACTAGCTGTGCATATCGGCTTTCAAGTGAAACAAGTAGGACATTATATGGGCATCAGATTGATTGATTGTAGCCTACTCGCTTAGCTTACAGGGTATCACTTGATCGACTCTAAGAGTAGCTCTTTATAGCCGTGTTTGTTGAACTTTTTATGCGTGGCGGCAATCAGTGGCATGAATGTTCAAACGCGTGCAACAAACAAAAAAAAAAGAAAGGACAATGGTAAAAGCAACGGCGAAAAATCAACATGCAACAGCCAAAAATGAACAACAACAACGACAGGCAACATCAGCAGTGGCTGCCGTTTCCCATTTAATACCCATTAACAACAAAAGTGGATAAAGGATCTGCTCGACAAGTAAGTACCGAAGTATTTATATTTTGAAGTATTCCGATGCCAAGATTTCAGAAATGATAATAGTAAACAAGTAAGAGGATCTAGTCGGGAGCGCCCGACTAGGGGATACCCTGAACCCTCTTCTTCCGACAGGCGATAGAAATACTTGATATATGTATATGTATATACTATTCTAGAAGCTACATGTCAATTTTGGTGACTCTAGCTTATATTATTTGCCGAAATTGTTCAAAAAACAGGAGTTCGATATCGATTTTTATCGATTACTTGGAAACGGGGCAAGTTATCGAATATCGGAAACAAACTCGATCTGCGCGGGGACTAGGAGGACCTACAGCCGAAATTTCTCTAGCTCTTATAGGTTCTGAGATCCTTGCGTTCATACATACGGACGGACGGACAGACAGACAGACGGACATGGCTAGATCGGCTCGGCTATTGATGCTGATCAAGAATATATATACCTTATGGGGTCAGAGATGCTTCCTTCTGCCTGTTACATACATTTGCACAAATACATTATACCCATTTTACCCATTTTCAATGGGTTCAGGGTATAAAAAGTGCTGCTGCTAAAATTTTACATTAAACGGAGTATCTCTCAGCCGAGCATGCTCGTCTCCAGCATTTGTTTTGCTATGCGTTTCTTTTTTGGCCTTTTGCATACAGATTTGTTTTTGCTATCTTCCGGCACGGAATTGTTTCCCTGCCGAACAATGTGATTTTCAGCGTGAAATTTTATTCAATCTGCATGGACAGGCCAATGCGCTTCCCACCGCTCCATTGATTCCGCGCTGCACAATTAAAGGGTAGTGTATACCAAAACTAACAAAAAAAATAAAATAGTACAGGGTGAGTATTTTTTTGTAAGTTGCCATTTATCTGGTTTTTATTTAGTTTCTTGTTGGGTGAAAAAAATTGTTGCTGTTGCTTGTTGAAGTTTTTTGAAAATGCTTTTAATTGAACAAATTGTTTAAACATATTGAACACACATGTAATTGCTGCAATTGTGTGCATTGTTTATAAAGCGCTTATTAAATACATTTCGTGTATATTAATCGTGCTTTATTTACATTTTTAATTATATATATATATATATTTGCACACCTAATGACTATGATTAATTGCTTGGCTTTTATAGAGATGTAATTGATAACACATTTCATTTACCAGCTCTTAAAATTAGCTTTATTTATGTGGTTATCATAAATTGTTTATATTTAAAATCTCTTGCATGTGTGTCGCTTGTGGGAATGTAAGTGTATATATGTATGTATGTATATAGTATGTCCAAATGTATCTTGCATAACAAGTGCAAACCAAGTTTACTTTTAGCTGAGGTACAAATTTATTTATTCTTGTTCCCTTCTCTGCGATTCTCATGATTTCTAGTAGGCCTTGCAGGTCTTCATGCTTTGATGGTAGGCGAAGTGTTACATAATGCCATTATATGTATATATGTATGTCTGTATGTATATATATTTATATAATTAATTGTATTTGTTCACGTACGCCAGACCAAGTTTACTTTAGCTTTCTCTTCCTCTATCATTTTATTTATATTTATTGCGTCTGGTCTTGCTCTTAACCGCTTTCAACATCCTATGCTATTTATTTACTACCAATAAAAATAATAAGCCGTGTGTGTGTGTGTGTGTGTGTGTTTGTCTGAATTGTTGTGCACTCAAATAAATATTTACATAATATAATACAAAAAGAATATGTGTTAAAGCAACTGAGAGCTGGACACGAGCTATGCCCCAAGTATTTCAAATATATATATTTTTATTTTTTCTTATCATTCGATTGATGTACATCATTTGCATTGCTCAATGCGCAAATTTGTCAATTATCTTCTGTTTGAGCGGCATTTTGTATTCAATTAAGTGAGCCGTGAGTTTATTGAAATTTTTTTCTTCTTTTTATTGCTGTCAACCGAACACAAAATGAAAAATGATAAAATAAAAATCATTCGGTTGGCAAGCAATATACATATATATAAATAATTGCCGTATACCTTTTGCAGCTAAAGCAGTTACCAATTGGTTTTTTCCGCAGTTAATCGAAATTGCATAAAATAAAGACATAAAAATTGATAAAGCAGAAAGAAAAAAAATTGTTTTTGCAGCCGCAAAGAGCCAGCAGAAAATTGGTATTTGCATTTGTTTCAAGAATATTGCATACGCTCAAATATTCAATTTATTTAAAAGAAGTGAAAAAAACTATTCGAAAAAGAAGTGAAAAAAATTATTTAAAAAAAATAAATAATTAAATATGAATATATAAAAGTGCATTGACTACAGAAATAAATATTTTATTAAGTTTCTTTTGGCTTGGTCCGCTTGATTAGGTCAACGAAATGGTGGCTCTGTATGTTAATTGACAAGAATATTTCTGCAATTTAATTAAAGATCATCAACAACACAATATAAACATGTTAAACATGTTGGTAAATAAACAGATTGTTTTTTAACGTATCTGGCCGAAAATGTTGTTGCGGGGCTTTAGTTCAGGCTGTGACTAATGGCAATTTGTCTGAGTGCCCGTTTCAGCAACTAACAAAACAGGCCTACACCCAACCACCCAACCACTCCCCAAACCACCCAACCACCCAACCACCCATCCAACCACCCCACGACCTGTGTGAGATATGTAATGCAATGTAAACGATATTGCTTCACATCAACTGTCAGGCGGCATTAAATAATATTTTGCGCTCAAAACGCGCCCAAAGAAGGCTGTTGATGCGGTGGCAGGGGGCACCAGATATGGGGCAGAGCTGGGGCAGAGCTGTGGCAGAGCTGTGGCAAAGCTGATGTGGCAGCATCGTCAGGGACTGTGACATTTTTGACTGCACGCCAGGAGCAAAAAGCCGCACCCAGACAGACAGACACAGAGACACACAGACAGGATGTCATGTGCTGTATTATGTAACACATACGGCATATTAACAAACGGCGTATTTAATATTTTAAGCAAACTACATACATTTTCCAGCAGCAGCAGCAGCAGGAGGCTGACAGCCTGGCATTGAAATTGTGCAAGAGCAGTTGCATCTACTCTGACTATTTCATAAGGATTGGTGGGCAGGGGGGCAGCAGTGTTTGTGGAGTTAAGCTCATGACATTTTGAAGGTGAATTCAAGAAACTAATGAAATTTCAGTTGACTTCTCTAGACATGACCATGGCCTGTATTATAAAGCCAAGTGCAATTGCAATTGCTTTTGAGGCATAATCAAAGAGAAAAGGCTGTTCACAATAAATTCTCTAAGTATTTTGGTCATTTAATTTGTGCAATAATAATCTAGTTTAATTGTTTAAATTTAAAGAAGCGCATGGATGTCTGTGTGTGTTCATGTGTACAGAAATTCTCCCACGTTTTCTGTAATAACTTCTGTGTTTCTTAACCGATCTTGATGCAATTTTCAACTGTAGATCTTATTGTGCTATAGGATATTCAAATATTCTCAATTGCTTTAAAATTGTGGTTCTTGGTAGTTTCAGTTGATTACTTTATTTCGTATAATACATTTGGGGTGGGTGCGATGACTGCCTATAGCTAAAAAACAAGTAAGAGGTTCTAGTCGGGAGCTCCCGACTAGGGGATACCCTGAACCCTCTTCTTCCAACAGGCGATAGGTATAAAATGAAAGATACTTGATATATATATATACTATTCTAGAAGCTACTTGCCAAGTTGGTGGTTTAAGCTCATATTATTGTTATATTATTATTATTTCGATATCGATTTTTATCGATAGCTTGAACACGGGGCAAGTTATCGAATATCGGAAACAAACTCGATCTGCGCGGGGACTAGGAGGACCTACAGCTAAAATTTCAAGTATCTAGTTCTTATAGGCTCTGAGATCCTCGCGTTCATACATACGGACGGACAGATGGACATAACTAGATCGACTCGGCTATTGATGCTGATCAAGAATGTATATTCTTTATGGGGTCGGAGATGCTTTCTTCTGCCTGTTACATACATTTGCACAAATACATAATACCCCTTTTACCCATTTTCAATGGGT